CAAATAAAAAATAAATCTAAAAAATTTCAAAATATAATTCAAAATTCAAAAACTCAAAACTTAAAATACAACTTAAAACTCTTTTGAAAACTTAAAATTCAAAAACTCTTCTCAAAACGCTTTTAAAACTCATAATTAAATAAATTTTCTTTTTTTAAAACTCAACTCACAATTTCACAGTTAATCACAACTCCACACTTAAGTCATAATTTCAAAATTAAATCAAACAGAGCCAAAACCTTTTCTTTTAAACAAGTAAAACAAAAGTTTTGTAGTTGTAAAAATTAGCAAAAAGTTAAGTAAGAGGAATGTAGTGATTACACGAAATTAATTTATTTTTACTGAACGCATTTAAAAATGATAAATACCATCTATTCACATACACTATGGATTCCACTCCCTATATGAATAGTAGTTTAGTACACAGATTATGATAATCTTTGGTCAAAGGTACAAGATTGGTCGCACGGAATAGACACTTTCCTTTGTTTATACATGCATGTATTTTTGTTAGGGCACATTAACATTTCTTTTGTTTATAATCTCCTAGAACATTTTGATATTTGAAGATGCATTTATCATGACTGCAACTATACTTTCCAACTCCTATCATCTATCTATATCATCTATCTATACTATATATTAAGTAAAATGAGATTTTTAATCCAAACCTTGTAGGAGCTCCAATCTTCCAATCTAAATTTCCTAATTTTTTGATTTAAAAAAAAAAAAAAACCTTAACATTTATTAACTTCTCCCAACTCCCAACTCTTACCCTCATAATAACACTTTAATGCATTAAGAACAAGCATAAAAAAAATTCTTTGAAATCCAACACATATAAATTTCTTGAAAAGTTTCAACACATATGATTATTATCCCTCATAATAACACTTTAATGCATTAAGAACAAGTATAAATTTTTTTTTTGAAAAGTCCAACACATATGATTATTATCAAAATATTAAATTTTAATATAATATAATAAAAAAAGAAGACATTTAATTTATTGAAAAGTCCAATACATATGATTATTATCAAAATATTAACTTTAATATAATATAAAAAAAGAAAAAAAGAAGACATTTAAATAAATAAATTAAAAAGACATTTAAAAATCGCAATTCACATATATAGATAATTGAAAATGTATTTAAAAAAATAGGGTTTTTAAACCCCAAGTCTTGTGGGAGCTCCAATCTCTCAATCTTAATTTTCTAAATTTTGGATTTAAAAAAAAAAAAAACTCACCATTTATTGATTTGGTCAAAATCCCGTGATCAGCATTTATTAACTTTTTCCAATCCACATGCCTGCATTTATTGATTTGGTCAAAATCCCTGATTAGCATTTAAAATCCCTTTATACAACTAATTATTGATACAGTCCGTGCATAGTTACTGTAGCAGCCTTTTTAATTTCTACTGTAAACTATGGTTAGTGATAAGATTGTTAATTATTTTTATAAAAAATCTTTTAAAATGTAATTTATATATTAAAAAAAATTAAAACAAATATAAATATCTATAATTATTCCGTACATAGCACGGGTGATAAGCTAGTATCTATACTATATATTAAGCAAAAGGAGGTTTTTAACCCCAAGGCCTATAGAAGCTTCAATATCTCAATCTGAATTTTCTAAATTTCCTATTTAAAAAAAAAAAACTCAACATTTATTGATTTGGTCAAAATCCCCTTATCAACATTTATTAACTTTTTTCAATTCAAATGTCTTTCCACATGTCTGCATTTATTGATTTGGTCAAAATCTCCTGATTAGCATTTAAAATCCCCTCATACAAATAATTATAGACACAATCCGTATATAGTTACTACAGTACCCTTTTCAACTTCTCCCATACACTATGATTAGTGATAAGATTGTTAATTATTTTTATAAAAAATCTTAAAAAACATAATTCATATATTAAAAAAAATCTAAAATAAATATAAATATCTATAATTATCCCGTGCATAGTTCGGTATTATGATGTCTGCGTGTATTCCACATGATATATATATATATATATATGTGTGTGTGTCTTGACCCATTAAATTATAGTTTCCATTAATTAAAATTTTGTTTTAGCTCAGCATTTATTGAATTCTCCAAAGTCTTTTTGACTTCTCCTATATACACATCCTTTTTAACTTTTTTTTTATTTTTTATTTTTAACAAGTATAAATATCTAAAAAAATATCTAAAACAAATATAAATATAAATATCTATATCTATATATCTATCGATACTATATATTAAGCAAAATGAGATTTTTAACCCCCAAGGCTTGTGGGAGTTTCAATATCTCAATCTGAATTTTTAAAATTTTTTATTAAAAAAAAAAACTCAGCATTTATTGATTTGGTCAAAATTTCCTGATTAACATTTATTAACTTTTTTCAATTCACATGTCTTTCCACATGCGTGCATTTATTGATTTGGTCAAAATCCCCTAATCAGCATTTAAAATCTCCTCATACAATCTCCTCATACAAATAATTATAGATACAATCTGTGTATAGTTACTGCAGTACCTTTTTCAACTTCTCTCATACACTATGGTTAGTGATAAAAATTGTTAAATTATTTTTATAAAAAATCTTAAAAAACATAATTTATATATTAAAAAAATCTAAAATAAATATAAATAATTATAATTATCCCGTGCATAGTACAGATGTCAAGCTAGTTATTAAAATAAGGAAATTGCCTGACATGGCATCCACACAAAACATGGAAAAATAGAGGTGTTATATATTGTTTAGCGGAAAACCATACTTTTAAGTCAGTTGAGGAAGCTAGGAGACAAACGAAAGTAATGCCTAGCTGGGAGAGAAAAGAAGATAAATGAGTGTGTTATCCCCCCCTTCTATTTGGGGAAGATGAGGAATGGAAAAGAAAACAAAGCTTTATTTATAATCACCTCTTGTTTGGGAAAGATGAGTGAGCTAAAAGAAAAGAAAAGATAGTTTTAGTTGCGATCACCAACTCCCATTCCCTTGGTTTTTAACTTTTTCCACTATTTGAAAGATTCAATAAGTGGGGTTGGAAGAAATTAGAGCTTCTATTCATTTCTCCCTATTTCTCTCATCTTAAAACTATCCAAACAGGTGATTAAAGAGGAAAGAGGCTTTTTCTTTCCTTTTCTCCAAAAATCACACAATCCAAATGGATTGTTAATCAAAACTCAAAACTAAATAAACACAAGTTGGAAATATGTATAGTGAACTCGAGCACGAAATAAATTGGACCAATGTGTTAACTGTGCTAGATATTGTTCCTCTAATGCAACGCAAGACAATTTCCCTCCGAATTGGAAGTTTTAATATAGATTTCCCTTCAACATGAAAACATTAGTATATGTAAATCTACACAATAGGCATACAAGCATATATAAACAGTACATATTACCAGATCAAGATCTTCCTCAAATGGAAATTGAATGGAGCATGCCTGAATTAGACACAGTGATCACCTGATCTATCTTAACTCACTTATCTCTAAATTGGCATCAGACTGCATTTAGATAATCATGTGTCCCCTTAAAGGACCTGTAACATATTTGTTCTGCGATAAAATTGACAACATGCTGTGAAAGTACAAACAGAAGATTATTAAGTTCAAAAGCATACCAACCTTTACAAAGGGCTGACCCAATGACAAACATGTGCCCACAAAAGCCAGGACCAGTACATGGTAACACTCAGAAAATGGTACATATCATTCCATAGAGAAACCCATACAGCAAACATTTCACATCCTGTCTACGTGCAAAATTCATCAAAGTGAGCAAACTACTTCCAACAACCAAAATAACAACTGCAATAGCAATCGTGCACTGTGTGACAGAGTTAGTACTACTATGGAGTTTCTCTTCTCTCTCTTGGGGGATTGGGGAAAGTTTTTCAACTTAACACTTACCATTTCAAGTTGACACTGCCACCAAACAATCCCAGAAAGAGTTGAAAGGTTAACATTCATCCCAAGTTCCTAACCACAAGAATTAATATAGTATCTTAAAATCCTATCCTACAGCCATTCAGGTCTGTCAAAACACAAAGACCATGCTAGCTACTGTTGCAAGTTTGGATTTTACATCTCTTCTTCTATTCATGTTACTTGCTCAGTCTACACTAAAAATTCGGTATCTATTCATCACAATTTCATCCTTATGCTGCATTTTGCACCATGAATCCATCCATAAAATGTATTTAGAATCAGAGCATTCCAAAGCACACTACTTGGCATAATTCCAAAAAAGCATGTCAAAGAAACACAAATGCAATTATTTGACTACCCAATTGTCACAGTCCAATCATCATAGCGAATGTACCAGAACAAGCTCCAAGATAAATTAGACTAATCAATTGTTTCCATAAATAGTTTAATGCTCTCACACATGATATTCATACATACTTGGAATCTCTTGCTCTCTCTATTGGGATTTCCTATATCTCTGCAAAGTATATTATCAATTATTAGGACTGAAGAGTTTTTGTTTTTTACTTAAATACTCACTTAAAATAACAAAAAGAAATAACTCTCTGCATCTTTTGGTACACAAAGGCGTGACCATTGGTTCAATGGTTAAGATTTAACCTAATAACCTTGAGGTTATGGGTTCAAGTCTTGGGCCCACCACTTTGTGTATTATGCCAAAGGTTAGGTGTACACTCAATCTTTACCCTCCCAAACACACATTAATTTGTGTATTATGCCAAAGGTTAGGTGTAGACTCAATCTTTACCCTCCCAAACACACATTAATGTAGGTTAGGTGTAGACTCAATCTTTACCCTCCCAAACACACATTAATGTGTACTACGTGGGCGTTGTTTGTTTTTATCTTTTGGTGCACAGGTTGCAAAAGGTTTTCCTGATTCAGTAATATATACACCACAAATTTAAATCATACACGGGTAACTTATTCCTCACCTACTACTACAAACCCGAAAAAAAGCCAATTTTTTTTTATTATCAAGTCATAGTCTCAAACATGAATTCAAGATGTACCCAATTTGTGGAGTAAACTTTCCGCCAATTTAACAAACACTATAAGAGCAACAATACATGTAGTACATAGAAAACATAGATAATTGAGAAAATAAAGCAATTTCTTTTGGGTTTCAATTCAATACCATTCAAAGCATAATACAACTATATCTGACTAAAAATTGCTTTCATTTCCCAAAAAAAAATACACAAAACTAAGAGAATTTACCACAATTCGATCAATTTCGATTCTAAGCAATGCCGACCTTAGCTCCAGCTGCTTCGAGCTGCTTCTTCGCCTCTTCCGCCTCCTCCTTCGACACTCCCTCCTTAAATTTCTTCGGCAATCCTTCAATCAATTCTTTCGCCTCCTTCAATGCCAAGCTCGTCAAAGCCCTAACCGCCTTAATCGTAGCAATCCGCGCATTGCTCGGCACATCCTCAATCACGACATCGAACTCCGTCTTCTCTACGGCGGCCGCCGGAGCATCAGCAACGGCACCGGGAGCCGCGGCGGCTGCGGCGACAGGGGCGAAGGCGGCGGCGGAGACGCCGAGCTTGTCCTGGAGGTATTCGACGAGTTTTTGGGCGTCGGCGAGGGATAAACTGGAGATTTCGTCGCCGAGCTTGACTACTTTTTCGGGGGCTTCGACGGCGGAGATAGGGCGGAGGAAGGTGGCGCGGCGGGAGGTGGGTTGGAGTCGGAGTGGGAATTTTAGGGTTTGGTTTGGTTGGGTAGGATAGGAGGTGGATGGTGGAGGGTGAGAGGGCAAAGGGAGGGTTAGGGTTGAGAGAGTTGAGGCCATTTTTGCAGAGAGAGAGAGAGAATAGGGAGAGTAGGAGGAAGAGAGAGAGACAGAGAGAGTGTGAAGATTGGGACAACAGGAAGAAGATAGGATAAGGGTAGAGTGGGTAAGAATGAAGATAACATTGCTGAGCTCTGTTTGAATCTAAAGTTCTTCTGTTTGGCAGGTGGGATAAAAAAAAGCGGGGCATTCCGAGAATCGAACTCGGGACCTCTCGCACCCAAAGCGAGAATCATACCACTAGACCAAATGCCCGCACAGGAGGAAATTTGTTTTTATAATTTCATATTATAAAATATATGATTCTTTGTTCACCAGTCAGAATCATTTGCCACTTGCTATTTTAGTTCACATTCTACAAAAGGCGTGTAAACAAATAGGAAGAATAGTTGGCTTTTTGGGAGTTATTTTTTTGGTTAAAATAAGTTGTTTCCACACTGGATAAATTTTTTAATAAGATCGTAGGAATAAATTATACTATAAAATAGTGTTTGATTGATTGGAATAAAATGATCATTTTATCAAGAAAAAATTCATTCACCTGTTTGGTTAAACTACAAAAATAATGATAAATGCATTATAAATGAAATCATTTTTCATTATTTTAAGAGAATGGTGAATTACCATTCTATTTCATTCAATTTCACCTCAAATAGAGCATAAATGTAAATGAGTTAATTGATGAGTTATATTCTTGGAATAAATTAATAGGATAAAAGATTGGATGGAAGGAGTGGTAATTATTGACATGGGTAAGCCCATTGCGACAACCCTCACTTCTGATTAGTACTAATCTCTAATTAAGTATGATAAGTAATTGATCAGACTAAAATTCTGAATTGATTGCATGAATGTACTACTTTAATAACATTTCTATCTGTCTGCCATTAATTGATTTGTTCGTGTTTTAATTTCAAACTGCAAATTGAAAGTTTTATCGGCGACCGATTCAGAAATTGATCGGTATTTTATGCTAATTAGAATTTATGTGATTTTATGGTAGGTTTAATTAAAATTTGATTTGGAACGATTAAATTAGATTAAAAATTGTTAAATCACATTAGTTCAAGTAATTACCTTATTGCCATTAAGTAGACAATACTAGGCCCTTTATTTAGTCTTGATTTATATATGCATGGCATCACTCTTCATCACTTTTCCTACACCAAAATCGTGAGAGATAGAGAGAGAGAGACTTGGTAGGAGATTGAATTCATCAAGAATTAGCTTGGAGACTTAGAAGAATTGAGGGAAATTTGCATATTTGAGTTTCCACATCTAGAATTCAAGACATAAGGTAGAAAATTCATCCTCTCAATTGTGAATTTAAGTTGTTTCTTGCATGGTTCATGGAAATATTGGAGGTTAGAGTCAAGAATTAATTTGAAGAGTTGAATTGTGAGCTAATTCATGTATGCATGTACATATTCTTACATTTTGAGATTGTTTTCATGAAAACTCTTACATGCATGTTCATATTTTGGTAGAGGTCCATGAATTCACCATGATTTTGAGCTCAACATTGCATTTGATCTTGTTTTGGAACACTAGAGCTCTTGGAAACTCTCGCATGTATGATTTTGCATTATTCTTCGTATTTACACTTAATTTTATGTTCAATTGGCTTACTTTTGGGCTTGATTTCATAAATTGATCTTTGAAACATGTTGTACTGTGAGTCTTCAAGTGTTTTCCAGGAAATTAGCCCAAAAGAATCGAGTTTGAAGCTTTAGAAATTGAATTTTGTGCTTGAGGATCAATCTGGAAATTCCAGATTTTAGATCCACGCTCAAGCGGAGGACTTCACGCCCGAGCGTACACTCTGAGTACATGCACTTCTGCTCGAGCATAGGAAGTCACGCTCGAGCGTGAAATGCATATGCCCAGAAGTTCATATGTTTTGCAGTCCACTCAAGCGAGAGAATTCACGCTCGAGCGAGGGTCTGAGTCTCACGCTCGAACGGAGGTCAAGCGTCCGTCGAGCGTGAAAATCGTGCATCCAGTACTTTTTCATATGTTTTGCAGTCCGCTCGAGCGAGACCCCTGTTTCAACAAAATTTTGAAAAGTGTTCTAAGGTACATTTTTGCATCCTCATTCCATCCTAGGCATTCCTAAACCAAGTTTAAGGCATCTTAATGAGGATAATGTTATAGAACCACACTAAGTCAAGATTAGGAGCTAAGCTATTTTTCCCAAGTGTGTAACTTAGTGGGTGTGTTCGTTCTACAACTGTGTAGGGTTGGCACCCGAAGACGCTGACTAGCCTACTTGTAGCCTAGTGCTCTGCGAGTAACAATGTTGTAAAGATATGTTCAATTATGATTATTTTCTGAATGGTCAACTGTACTGCTTACTGAAATGTCTTTATTTAATGAATGAATGTTTGTCCTATTTGTAAACTGTACTCGTGGCATCCATAGCAACCTACTGTTACTGTTACTGCTATTGTTATAGAGATCTCTGTCGGTTCTAATATAAGGACCACTATTGTTTACTGTTTGATAGCTATCAACTAACTGTTCGGTCTGTCAAGACCTATTGTACTATTTTGCTATTGGATGTACCACACATGACTATTATGGTTTCTGAATAACTGTTATGGCATGAAATATGAGCCACTGATTGAGTAACTGTTTTACTGATACAATTGGTTATTTTAATTACTGAAAGGACATTCATTCTTAACCTCTTTACGCATATGTTATTCACTGGGCTTTAGCTCACTGTTTATATTTATATGTAGGTGTCCAAGCACCGGGCCGAAGCTAGGAGCGTCGAGTTAAGCTCCCGTTTTGTCAAGCCAACCTTTGTACCTCACTTTGAGGTTCCATGTCTGTTCAAGCTAGGGCTGCTCTGGGGTATCTCAGTTCCACACTTCTGTCTCTGTTTTGTAATAAGTGTTTAAGACTTGACTGTACAGTTTTGTGGAAAAGACTTGGTCCCTAACCCGGACGTTGTGTATATGACGTATGCATATATGTTGGTTTATCAATGTGGCATGTTTATAAAAATCTTTTTGCATTCAGGTTTTCACAACTCATTGGACATCTTTTATTTATTGTATTGGCTTTCGCCAGCCCCTCTACTCTATATTATTGTCGTTACTGTTAAGCAGGCCTTTGGTAATCATAGATTACTGGCTGATTACGATGCTAAACACATAGAGGCGGGTTTGGGTCGTGACACCCGTAAAGATTATAGCCCACCATGTAGGACCAAATACATATCTCAAATACTAAAGCCCAGCATTACTGAAGCCCCACGTAGCAATAAGAACCAATGACATCAAGACACATGGCAAAGGAAGGGCAAGCCACATAAGCAGACAAAGATCTGCAAAGTTATTGCCACGGCACATCGCCATTAATGAAGCCCTTTACAGTATTTATTGCGATAACCCTTCTCTGTCGGGACAAAACGCCTTCACCATGAACAAGGTAAGCTAGAGCATAGACTTTCGGCCAAGGTGACAAGTCGGAAAGGACAACGAAATGATTACCAGAGGATATAAGCAGACGTCGAAGACAGGAAGAAGGTTAGGCTTTCTATCTCTAATCCATCTCTACGATCAACTTCTCTTTCTAACTTGCTCGTCGAAGGGTTCGCTGGGGGACTCTCCGTTACCCGTTGAACTCTTGTGCAGGTTCCCTCATGGGCTTGATCACTCAGACACCGGTTTGGGAAGCGTGGATCAGCCCGACCCGTTCCATCTGGAACCCGTTGTACCATCAACTGGCGCCGTCTGTGGGAAAGGTTTTTGTTTCGCGCGCCAGTTGTGCTCATTGTCGCCGGAGACCCTCTGCCAATAATCCCCTCCTACCACCTTTGAAGGTGGATGGTCACAACTAGATCCATGGCTTCTCACCCCAATGTTCTCGATCATCAAGCCGACCCTCCCAATCCAAATAACCCACCACAGTATTTCGCCGAGCTCACCAACAACATTAACCGCTTGGCCGAGCAAAACCAAGCCCTGATTAATGCTCTACTCCAAAGAAACCTTCCTATGCCTCCTCCACCACCTCCAGATATTCCACCTAACCAAGAACGAGCCCCGAGCCATACTATCCTGCAGCCTAACCCACCCAACTTGAAAGGCTTGCGAGCTCCCCTCTCAGATATAAACCTGCCACCCTGGGCCCCGCATCCATCGGTCCCGGTACCAACCCCCGAAGGAGAGGCCAGTAGCGTCTAGCCCCTGCTCCCCTCCGGTAGTGACAATATTCCTCTCTGGGATACAGAACTCCGAGCCATAAAGCTCTAACTCTAAGGAGTCATGCAGAACATACAGCATAAACCATTCATCACGGCCAACTCGCCGTTCGTTGCCTCCATCCAGGGCAAACTCTACCCCCTAAGTTCAAAATGACCACCATCGACTCTTTCGACAGTACAATGGACCCAGTCGATCACTTGAAGACCTACAGAACCCTCATGATCCTCCACACATTCCCCGACGAGATCATGTATCGGGATTTCCCCGTAATACTCAAGTGGTCGGCTCGACTTTGGTTTAGTCAACTGCCAGCAGACTCTGTCTCCACTTTCTAGCACCTCAGTGACTCCTTTCTCAACCATTTCATTGGAGCCCAGCACCAGCTACGTCCAGCAACCCAACTCCTCAATATCCGTCAGACCGAGGGGGAGTCGCTGCACAGTTTCGTTATCCGCTTCAACACCGAAGCCTTGCAGGTAGCGAAAAACGATGACAAGGTCATCCTTACGGCTTTCATGGCCGGTCTACAGTCATCTGATTTCCTTTTCTCCCTCTCAAAAAACCCACCGACCTCCATGGCAACCCTACTCTCCAAAGCCCAAAAATACATAAATGTCAAAGATTCCCTAGCCGCCCGACAAGACCCAATAGCAAAAAACCCGACCCCTAGAGAGAAGAGAAAGGACTCAAAAACCAGAAATACCCAATACACTCACCAAACACCTCAGTAAAATGACCGGGCACCCCGAGCCGACCGGTCGGCGTCAGCCCGACCGCCCGGCCGGTTCGAAAGATACACACCCCTCAACTCCCCCATGGAACAAATCATGAACCAGATTCAGCGAGATTATCCCCTTAAATGGCCCCAACCGTCGCGATCTCCTTCCAACCG